ATGCGAAGTCAATAGATGATCTCAGCACAAATCTGGGTGACCTCAATAGTCTCCCAAATAATTGGTCTTAAAATTAACATTTACAAGAGGAAGCTTATGTCGACCATGTTCATGTTGCGCCAATTTCGAGGAGCAGATCTATCGTCGAAACCAAAATTCATCAGCACCACTGTAATATTTTTGACTAGTGTATTATGTAACCAATGATGACAAACGGATCCGAAATGTAGTCTGCCACCGTGGGCTAGATGTCATACCTATGTCTGGTAGTGGTCATATGGGTAAAATGATGACGATGACCAAATGCTGGCTATCTGTTGAAGTAAAAATTGTAAATGAAATCACCAACAAGCTACAAGATAACTAGGATATACGAGTATCTTGTATCTGCGGGTATTACATGTCGAGCAAACGCAACCGATATCAGTGGACTTTAACCATACAACTAGAAACTTAAATGTCCGACTTTGCACTCCTCGTTTACTTTTTTTGTTACAAAATAAAAATATTGATGTTCCTTATTAAAAAATAATGATGTTACTTTATGCGCAACAATTATGTAAAATGAAAAAATAAACAATGGAATTGATATATTCCATTGTTTATTTACTACTACTACTATTTTTACTTTCTTTCTTTTTTAATAATTATTAAATTCATTGACAAAACAATCTATAATTACGGTGAAATTGTATGTTTAAAAAAAACGATTTAATAAAATAGATATGATTGACCTACGACCTACGAAGCTACTTAAAAACCAATACAATTACCACAAAATTGTTTCATGTAACGTCAAAAGTCAATACGACACAGTGAACGTTTACTGTAGCTAATTTGATATTTAATATTTGACGTTCGTCCGCAAGGTCTTGCTTACATCTCACTTAGGGGGTCGTTAAGTGTTTTCGAAAGTCGCCATTAGTGTGAAATATGAATTAATGGGCGTAGAGCGACGCTGCGGCGTCATCGGTATACGGCTCCTCAAGAGGTGTCTGAGGTTTGAGAATTGTGTAGAGACTTCTTTTTATTAATTTCTTATTATTAATATTACATTTTTTAACTATAAGTATTAAGTGAAATATTATACAATACAATAAATCCTTATAATTTTCTTAATTCGGTCAACATTTTATATGAGATCCTGATATCTTGGTATGAATTTTAGTAGCTTATCTATATATGTATATAAGTATTTATATATATATATATATATATATTTCATATGCAATAAATGCACAGATTTGTTAGTAACATCCAACTTTTTCAAGTTACAACTCCTGTAAATTTCTTATTTTATAAATTGGTTTTCCTTTACTTTCGGTTCAAACGGAGAAAAAGCTGTTAATTTTGGCCCAAGACTCTTCCTGAAATAAACTCTTTTATTTGAGATTTTGTTCAGTTTTTTATTTACATACTACACAATTAGTTAAATGTAGGCAAACCTTAAACCACTGAGGTTTATGCAGCAACATGCAAAATCAATTATATACATAAGTAAATAACATAAGCAATTTAAATATTAATAAATATTAATTTAATAGTATTAACTTTAGCGTAGTATACAAAAACAAAAATTGACGAGTGGGCGGACTCTTTTATTCCCGAGCAAACAAAGTGAAACAGGTTTCGCACAGGGAATCTACAGGCTGTTCAAGAAGTGTGTTTTCAATTTTGGTTTTAATTTACTTTTGTTGTTCTTTGTCTAAAGGAAGGACTTAAATTATTTATTAGGCGGGGAATAATATACTTGATGGTTCTTTCACCGTAAACGTACACTGCACGGACTGTCTCCACTCTTTTATTGGTTTTTTGACAAGTTTAAATGTTATGGGATATTTCATTCTGTATAGAGCCATTAAAAAAGTGTTCTTTAAGTAGACCAAAAGTGACCTTTAAAAAGATAGGAAGTGTCTTGCAGAATTTATAAAATTCCATTTCTCTCACTCTAAGTTGTTCTTTTTTATTCGGTTCATTGATACGATTGAGGTAAGATTTAAAAGTTCTGCCGTAGCTTGTGATACCATATCTTATAATTGAGTCGACGAGGGCTTTATAAAGCAAAATCTTTACCAAGTATTCTATTTTTGATAATATATAGGTTGGCCATGAACGCTTTTAACTAATCAGTAATCACATACTCGGTTGACTTAAGGTAGAGACTTAAATTTACCATCGATGATTAGCCCCAGAAACAGGTGTTTGCCTATTGATTCAATAGAAGGACATTTGCAAATACCAGTAGTATTTTTGTGTAGGCATAGATGTTTATTAGCCACCAGCGTAGCGCTTTCAGGACATTGAATTTTGCTTTAGGCAGAATGTACGTGTGTAAAGGCTGAGAAAACCAAATTATGGTTTTCTCAGCGTTTAATTCATTGTCATGACACCATTTACTGATGTTATATAGATCTGCTTGCATTTTAATATACGCTGTAGAAACATCTTTGTCTGCAATGAGTTTTACAGTTATTACTCATTGCTGACAAAGATGTTTCTAAGTTGTTTCTAAGATCTTTCTAAGTTCTAAGTGTCGTCTAGGATAGGATAGGATAGGAAGTGCATTGGCTGATAACATTATTCATGTCGTTAACATATGCAATAGAGTGAAGAGGACCAAGCACTGATCCCTGTGCTGTTCCTACATCGGCTGTTATGGACTTGCTAGTTTTCATTTTCGTTTACACAGTAAGCCCTATTCTGAAGATAAGTTTTGCACCATTTTAGTAATGGGCCGCGCACACCAGTGATGCTCAGTATTTTTATAAGTTTTGCGTGATTTAATGTGTCAAACGCAGGGGAAAAATTAATGAAAACAGCCAATACATGTTTCCTAGAATCTAAGCTGTATTTATATAGTCTGTGAACTGTGATAACAGTAAAGTTGTGCTTTTATTGGGTTGGAATCCAAATTAATTTTTAGATATAACATTGTGATTTCTATAGAAGGCATGTATTTGTTCACTAAAATATTTTTCCACCACTTAATTGATGGTTGAAAAGATCGTGATAGGTCGATAATTTGACACATCATCATGTTTGCTATTTTAGTATATCGTACGGACGCAACTATGTTTTAGTACGTCCTAATAGTTTCCCGTTTTAATACAGGCGTTGATGAGATCCGCAATGACATTGGACATGCTGTGACTTACTTTTTTTATGTCTATAACTTTAACTTTATCTTGACCTGGAGCCTTAAAACAGTTCAATTTATCTATTATTATTTACATACATACACATAGCATACTAACATCACTGTGATCAAGATAATCGGTCTCTTTAAGAAGTTGCACTTTACATCGTGGTATTATTTTAATTACCGAGTTTTTAAATTCGTCGGCAAATCTGATGGCGATTTCTAGATGGTTGTTAATGATTATGGTTGTTAAATGTTTTTAAAATAATTTGGTCCACTGTAACGGTAACTGCCACAGAGTGAATTTATTAGTTGCCAGAGTTTTTTTGAGTTTGAGTAGTTATTTATAATAATTGTTTTAAACTTGCTATTTTTGTGAAATTCTAAGACTATGACATTTGTTACGTGATTTATTATACTGCAATCTAAGACACTGATTGGTTTGATCTGATCTCCATAGTTTAAGTAATCTATCTCTAATTTCACATAAGTTTAAAATATTTTGGTTGTTCCATGAATGTTTATACCTTGTTGTTGCACATTTATTTTTTGTCTGAAGTGGCTTTAATGTTAGCATTTTTAAAATTACTTTTGATAGAATTATATATTTGGTTAGGGCAGTTCATTTTTTTCATAGTATACCAGTCTATATTATTAAGTTGCTTTTCCAATATTCTTTGGTCATAGCAATGTAATTTATCAGTTCTGTGAACCGCCTGTATATGCGCTCGTACGTCATCACAACTGCCAGCGAAGAGTGTGACGCGGTGGTCTGCTGCAACAGTGTCTACGGCTGCCGAGTATGCACGCCATTTGCATAGCTAAGCTAAAAATATGGTCAATGCATGATTTTGTTATTTTATTCGCACTCTTATCAATTCTAGTGTAGTCGGATATTCCATAGCGGAACCCGCTTTCGGCCAGCATAGTCGTGTATAGGCCTAGGTATGCAAACTATGTTTTGAGTTTAATGTTTATATCCCCGAGTATCATCATGTCAGTGGATGTAATATATTTCTTTAGAAGCTTGGATAGTTCAGTGACAAAAATAGTTTTGTTAGTAGTGGGTGGTTTATAGATTTTACACACAATTATCCGGTTATTATTTGCCGTTATTAAAGTGCCTGTTATTGTTTCAAAGGAGTGTGTTTTTAATGTGCTAGTGGTAAATTTAAGATAGTTTTTACGTAAATTATCATTACACCGCCTTTTGTGTATTGCCTTAATTGAAAAAGATTGACAATTGACTTGAATAGGTTGAATTGAAGAAAACTTTTTATGTTGGAGAACATTCATTTTAAAGTTAACGCTGATCATCTCTTATTAAATGACAAACTACATCAGTACAGTACTGTAAAGCCAAGGAAAACTTAACACAAACTCTAAACCAACCCGTCTGGCCAGCGATGTATAGCTGGCCAAAACCTCTTTCTAAGAAAAAGCCTATGTCCAGCAGTGGACTAATAAAGGCTGTTGATTATGATAATCTCTTTTTTATATTATTTTATTAAATAATTTGTAACTTATCAAAACATATTATTTTTAATTTCTCATCATTTTCTACTTTCAATATGAAAATAGTTGTACGGTTTTTTTGTTGCATTTTGTACAAGCTTTTTAAAATTCTGTTATTTATGAGTTACAGTTATTAAAAACAAATTTAAGTCAAAAAATTTAAAAAATGTTGACTCAAGTCGCATCCACCGCATTTTACTGACGAACACGCATAACCAAGTAAACTAAGACGGGTGGGTTATGATTGATTATTACCTATTCTGTTGCCTGGAGCTTTTAGGTTCATTCTATGCCCACGAAGTAAACGAAAACGAGCATTTCTGTGTTTGGAAACAATACTATCAAGATGAACAAAGAATTCCAAGGGTACCGAGTCTATGACTCCAGTGACCATGATCGGCTGAGGAAAAGGGATATGCACGATAAGAGTGATGATAAGAATGCTGGAATAAGAGGTATTGTTTCTAGGTTTTGATAATTAAAATTTAACGAAAATCTATTGAAAATTGTAATGTCAGAACTTAAATTAATTCATGATTTAATTCAGTTATCAGTCATAGATTTATATATTATTATCTTCGCATGTTTCGGCAAATATGGCCTATATGGCTCGACCGAACCTATACTACGCCCTCAGAGAGGGGGGAGCTTTACTCAAAGAGCGGCAATTTACTTGATTCTCTTGAGGGATCAGTCTGTTTGTTTCAAATTTCAAAAAATATCAGTAATCTTACATTAGTAATGACCGTAATTTGCTCTGTTTTAAGAACAGTCTTTTTATCTGAAATAATATTTTTACGTTAAACATTATTTATGTTAAGCAGAACTTAAACATGCATTTTGTAAAAAGGAAAAATGTTTATGCCAAAAATATTTATAAAATGTTTTGGCAACCATAATCGTTACACATTTGCCGACAAAAACGTTGCAAATGTCGCTGTGCAATAATATCTCAGCATTGTAACGATAATCCCGAGCTTTGATAAATCACTGTCACTTTGGTCACTTAAGATAACAGAATTTCCTCTTTGTAAATATTCCCTCTTTGCCTCATTGTTACTTTTGACTTAAGATATGGCTGTAATTTAATCTTTGAAAGAGTCCTATTTCATTAACTGGGTGTATTGTTTTAAGATTTCGATGCCAAGGAACTTTATGGCCCAAAAATTACTGATAAAGACGGAGCTCTTCTTGATGCTCATGACAGTTTCTATAAAACTACCAAGAGTTTGCTTGTACTTTTTCAAATCATGGGAGTTATGCCCATCATGAGGGTGCCAAAAGGTAATGTTTTTTCGTTATCATCATCATCAATAGCCTCAATTTGTCAACTGCTGGATATATGACTCCTTAGTAATAAAGTTTTGACCACGCTGGCTAGACGGCTATTTTCTTAGCTATCCTGAATTACAACTTCATCTGATATGTATTGATAATTAGTGTTCCGTACCTCAAAAGGTAAAAAAGGAACCCTTATAAGATCACTTTCTTGTCCGTCTCTCCGTGTGTCACCACCGATTTTCTCAGGAACGGATAGACCTAGTAAGTTGAAATTTGTACCAGATACTAAGGTCTATGGTCCCTATTAGGTATATAAAAACCAAGATCCGGAGTCAACACTATAAAAAGATATTGGCAAATTCCGATTTTCGCGAAAATTTGTAAGTACCAAAATGTACCTTAATCTTATTTTTTTTTTATTTTTCAGAATTTTCTCTTTATTTGTGCTGTAAGACCTTGCTTTTAACCAAAATTGACAATTCTAGGTCAAACCGGAAGTAACGTAGAGGTTTTGGGTCGAAAACCTATATGGTAGTTCACGTTGACCTAGAAACACGAAATTTGGCAAAAGGAAACGTCTTACAGCACAAATAAAGGAATAATTCTAAGAAATAAAAAAAGTTGAAAATCAAGATAAATTTTGGTACTTACAAATTTTCTCGAAAATCTACGTAAAATCTGGGTAGGTACGGAACCCTCGGCGCTCGGGTTCGACTCGTACCTGACCGGTTTTTTGTTTTATTTGTCAGTAATATTATTTTATATCATAAACAATTTATTTGCATAGCGTTGTTAAACAAAGTAAACCAACGTTTTGGTTTGTCATTTTTATATATCATCATCTGATAAAATGCGGTGTTAAAACTCTGTCCAAACTTTAATACATATAAACTTTTAAAGATTTTTATGGAGAATGTCTTAATATTTTTAAAAATTCGATAACTTTAAAGTAATATTTTCATCGTAGGAGTGCACGTCCGCATTTTCCGGGAAAGTTTGACAGTTCAAATTTAATAAACTTTGAACATAAAATGACCTGATTGCTCTTGTATGTAGTTGTTCAGAAGTAACGCTGGAAGTTTTTTAATGGACACAATAAGTTTGAAAGGTGGTTATGATGGTCTCATTACTCACTCGTGTTGTTCTTAATATTTTATTTTAGAACATTACCTACTTATGAATAATGAATAGTGAAACATACTATAAACAGTTAATTTTATACCTGTGCAAGACTGCAGACAATAGGTGTTGTGAAAAATTAAATTCATTAGATTATAAATGAAATTAAAAACCAACTATAGTCTTTTTTGCCATTTGACAAAATATCTTGAAATATATTACACAAATTATGTTAACAATTTATCGCTAACTCACTTCACTTACATTTTTATTGGAATGCTCCAATCATTCTATTAAACGTGTTTATAATTTGAATTACTATTCTAAATGGTTAAGTTATAAAATCCTTACATAAAAGGTGTTTTTATCAATAAAAATCGCTGTACAGTTTCTTTTTCCAGCACAGCTTTTTATTAAATGCAAAATAATACTGCTTTTCTATTTTTGAACTTTATCGCACTAAATATAATGTATAAGCGAATTAGACCCTTAGCCACGATAGGTATTAAACTTTTGAATTGTCTGACGTCAAGCTTCCGGTCAGCCTGTGACCACGGTCTGTGCCACCTGGTTGAAACGTTAGGCAATTCAAAAGTACTCGTATATGCTTAATCCATTAATTTTCATAAACATAATTATAAATTTTATACCTATCATAAATAAATACTTATCATAGTTTTTCTAGTAAAACAAAAATATATTGAAAATAGGCAACGTGTATCACAACTATAATCTCGCGTACAGAAACTAAAAATACGATTATTATTGTTTCTCATAGTGAAAGTTTCTTTGATGGTTATTTGTTTTTGTAGATGCTCAAACAACAACACGTACAACTTATAATTGGATATCAAAAGCTACTCTGTGGGCGTACCTTGTGTGGGGTTTGGAATCAATTATTGTTGTAAAAGGTAACAAGTGAAATAAAATCCATGTTTGTTCGCTTCCACGCCTAAACCATTTAACAGATTTTTCAAATTCTATCACCTATGGAAAACTACATTTTCACCGAGCAACAACAACAATAGCAAACACACGCGCGGGCAGAGCCGCGGGCAAAAGCTAGTATGTTCTAAAATACATTTTGCAGTACTGTATATCACTGGTACAGGTATATTAATTTACAAATCTTAAGAGAAAATGTATCTTAGAAAGAAATGTAGTTAGTGGTTTCTATTCATTTTCCCTAGAGGTAGTTAAATACAGGGATTTTACAAATAATGATAATTCATAAAACTAACCGTGACACGATATCACAGGGTAGTTAAGTTATATATCTTTTTAAATGTATCCGCTTGTTGTTGAGCTGTTTTAAACTGATGACATATTTTCTTCATATCATATGTGTGTGTCAATTATTTTTTAAGTTCGAAAATTAGAATTTTTCTCGTAGTCGTTTTATGTATTCAATGTGTTCAGCCTATTATAACTTATGGATCCGAAACATGGCTTCTCATAAACGAGCACATGTATGCCATAAGGGTTGCTCAAAGAGCCATGGAGCGGACCATGCTAAGTATCCACCTCGTGGACCATATACCAAACGTCAAAATTGAAGCCGCACCAAAGTTGACGACATGTAACAGATTGCGAGGCTTAAGTGGAGATGGGCAGGGCACTTGGCCAGACGGGACGACGACCGATGGACTAAGGCAGTTACCGAATGGTGGCCAAGAGGTATGCGGCGGCCTCGAGGCAGACCACCTGCCCGATGGTCAGACGACATTGTGAGGGTGGTAAGAAAGCATTGGATCCGGCTGGCACAAAACCGCCATATGTGGCGTGATAGAGAAGAGGACTATACCCAGCAGTGGGTGCAACAGGCTGTTTAGATAGATAGATAGATGTCATCTTCATCAACAGCCTTTAATAGTCCACTGCTGGACATCGGCCTTAGAAATGAGGTTTTGGCCTACTATACCACGCTGGCCAGACGGGTTGGTATAGGGTTTGTGTCAAGTTTTCCTTCTTTTTGCAGTGCTGCTGTCCTGCGTAGTTTGCTCCTTTAGTCGCCTCTTACGACACCCACGGGATAAATAGGGGTAGTGACACTCCGTATTCTTAATCCGTCACCACATGGACATTACCACACGGAATCACCTAATATAATCACTTAATATTAAATTACACTCACTTAATATTTTAGATAATTCTTAATATTGAATGTAATGACAACCTATCTTATTACGTTTTTTTTTTTAATTATTTATAAAGCGGGTTAAGTATTTAAATGTTAATAGTACACATATAATATATGAAAATAATAAAAAAGAGTTTTTGAATGACATTTTAAAGGAAGTAGTTTATTCTCATTGATCTTTTATCTTACAGTGGGCAAAGAGCGTCTAACGAAATTCCAAAATAGCTCCAATAAGCGATTTGATGAGGTTATCTACAATATTATCTTTCTGAGCATTCTGATCCCGCATTTTCTCCTTCCGATTGCATCTTGGCGGCACGGACCACAAGTAGCTATATTCAAAAACATGTGGACACATTATCAGGTAAGTACATATTATGTATGTCACATAAATAAATGATCAAACTGAATGAGGGATATATGGGACTACTACAGACTACCTTTAATAAAATGTAAAGTCGCCAGTATGATATAAATGTATTATCGAGAATCGATATCGACATTGTTTGATTTCATCAGACCTAACGTAGAAAGTACTTCCATGATGCAGAAGGCTGGATATGACTATAAGTAGCTTGGTGTTGCTTATTCTGAGCGTCTCGTCTCACCTCTCTAGCATTAATGGAATACATCTAGAAATAGTTAGGTATTCCATTAATGTCAATACATCCATACTTATATTGTAAATGTGGAAGTGAGTTTGTTTGTTAAGCTTTCACGCTTAAACCACTAAACCGGTGTTAAAAATTCTTTCACCATTGGAAAGCTACATTATCAGCGAGTAATAAAAGTTACTTTTTACTGCGATAACCGGTATATGCGCGAGCGGAGCTGCGGGCAAAAGCGAGTACATAATATGTATATTATTCCAGTTACTCTTGTTCGATATTTAATTATTTTTTCTTTCAGCTAAAATACCTGAAGATCACCGACACACCAATAGTGTTCCCCAACTTGTATTTACTTACGTGGGGCTTATGTATATTTTCTTGGACTCTCAGTTTTGCAGTGATACTGTCTCAACATTACCTTCAAGAAGATTTCGAACTTTGGTATACATTTGCGTATTTTCATATCATTGCGATGTTGGATGGATTCTGTTCACTTTGGTACGTCCTACATGATTATATCTAAAAATAGAAATCTAATCTTCAGTAGTTTGCAAAGCATATATCTAGAAATAGATGATGGTATATCCGGTGTACTTACAATATTAACTTTATTAAGCTCAGTCAATAATTTTTCAATTTTGTATTTAATTAATATCACTGGCTGTTCCAACTACTACCGTTCCAAAGTGAAAATGAATTATTAAATTAACACAATATTGATTTTATTTTCACGAATAATGTTAATATTAAGAACCATAAAATAAACTATAACGTTAATTAATAACATTTCATGTTGTTAAATTTCTGATGAAGTCAATGGAGAGCCATGAAATGGGCACATATGGGCCCTCTCGACGGCAATTATGGGGCGGGGGGGGGGGGGGGGGGGGAGGGGGGAAAGGGAGGAAAGGGGTTAAGAGAGCACTGATAGGGCTTTAATGCACTTGTGTCTCCTGGACTACAGTTGATCATAACATATAACATCTGGTCACCCGTCAGCTTGTTTGATACCTATACCATTAAAAATGAAAAAAAAATATGGTCGGTTTATATGCGATAGGTACATAAACTGCAACGCATTCGGTACTGCGTCTCGAGGACTAGCAATGAATCTTCACAAGGCATTGGAGGCCGAACACCCGGCGCTAAAAGTGGCGCAGTACCGTCATTTGTGGGTCGATCTCTCTCATATGATGCAACAACTGGGTAAGTTGATAGTTCGTCTCACTTTTATTTAAGATATGGTAACTCTCAGATAGACTTTGTTTTACTTCGAAACAGTTAAAAATTTAATATATAGGTACTCCTCTGTAACTTCATTATTCATTTTAATTAAGTTATTATTATTTTCTACAACGTCTGTGGTTTTGGAGAGGCTGAGGCTAAGTGTTAAAGTTTAGAAATCCTAGCCAGCTCAGTCTATGGACGGGTAACTATTGCTAATATATTGAAACCAATCGGTTTCTCGGAGAACACGTTAAGCTGTCGGTCCCGGTTGCCATATGGCAATATGGCAAATGATCTGTAGCAATTGGAGCCCTGAAAAGTAAAGCAACAGTCGGAGTTAGTCAGGAGTCAACAGTTTACAGAACTTCGATCGCCTAGACTTGGGTTGTGGAGGTCAGATGGTAGTCGTTTTACGTAAAAAATCGTAAGTTCAGCCGTGTCATAGTAGACTGAAAAGCGACCCCAACCTAGTTTGGGCAACCCCTCGGAGGATGAATGTTAGCGGTTTTGGAATTTCATATTTCGAATTATTTTGTAAGATATGATGTGTTAGTGGTCAAGAAAACAACGAAGAGGCTGCCACTTATTCTAATCCGATGTCCTTTCAAACATGGTAAGCATTTGAAAATCTGGCATACGTATGTACATATTGTTCCGTCACAATCCTATTAAGAGTCATACATAAAAGATATAGCACAGTTGAATTATTAAATTGGGGAAGCAAATGAAAATAAATAGATCTCTTTAACCCTGCATGCAATCTATATTAAACATTGACACACAACACAACACAAAGATGGTAAATTTTCCCCTAAAAACGAAACTCGCTTGCCAGTCACGTTCAGTATATTGTATCTGTTCGTGACTTGCTGAATTCACCTGTACAATATTTATTTCATATGCATACTAACTACTGGCCGCAGCATCGCTCACATGATTTTTCTTATTTTGTGTTTCAACTTTGAAAATGATAAATGTCCACACAACCCTTATTTTACTCCCTTTGGGGTAAAATTTGTAAAAATTCTTTCTTATTGGGTGCTTATAACATAAAAGACATTAGCTGTCAAAATTTCAAGTTTGTAGCCCCACAGGTTTAGGTACTGCGTTGATGACTGCACGGATGGCGTAGTGGCTTAAGCGGTCGCCATGCCACTTATTACTACGCTGAGTGTTGTAGGTCCGATCCAAACATGGGACGACACTTTGTGTAATCCAAAAGTTGTTGTTCTGAGTCTAGGTGTTTTTTGGGTCCGTTTCATGTATGTTTGTAAAGTACACAGGATACATTCCTAATGCGGTAGTTGTCTTAAAAAAAAAGAAAGAAAGATGAATTAGTCAGTCAGTCAGGGCAAATAATTTTATACGTATACCTAGGACCTTTCCTTACTAAAATATAACAAAGCATACATTGGATCAAAAGTCATTACATGGCCTCATTAATTAAGGTTACCTGGCACCAGTGGATCAATTATGGTTATAGAATGTCCTATAATATATAACAAAGACTCATTGTAAATCGCGTGTGGCCGCCAACTGCTAACCGTTAGGAAATATATATTAAAAAAACCTGATAAATGCAAGTCTGATCAGAGCATATAGGGTTCTGCACAAACTTACATATACAATTTTTGCGTAGAACTTTCAGTGCACGAATATTTAGTCCATCTTGGGAATTGATTCTCCAAGATGGTTGTCCTTTTTTTACGAATGACAAAGTTAACTTTGCCGTTCCAAAAGCACTTTTCAATACACGGTTGTACTAAGTCATTATTACTTTAAAGCGAAAAAAACACGTTTGTAATCATGAAGAAATAAACAATTTTAGAAGAAGATTTTCTTTTTTTTTGTTCTAGTAGTGTCAATAGTACCTTATAGGATTTTTATTTAACAACAAAATTTAAAATAAAAACCAAAGAAGTCGTGTTTTTTATTACGTTGTAAAAATGAAGCTTGTAAGTAATAAGCTATATATTTTTAAAGCATTTTAAATTTTTGGTCCTCAGACATAAATACTCCTATTAACCTTCCAATAGATCCATCCACGTATTCTAGAGACAAAGTGTATCAACACACAAATAAAGACAGATTCAAATAAATGATCCTAATAGGATTCTTATTTTTCTTTAAAGCAACAGAAGTCTATAAGTATATAAATCCTTTTAAGAAATAGTTGAACCGACTTTAGACAATACTAACAAAGAACACTGAAAACCTAGCAGCAATCGCGGTTGGCTTATTGCCATTTTTTGAAGAGTTGCGTTGTCTATCTCCGTCATCTATATAAGCTCATCATCAGATCTATTTAAAATTTAAATGGGACTATAACCCCCTAATATAATGGGTCTTTAACCCCCTATAAGGGGAATAAACCCCTTTCGAACAAAAAAAGGAATTTGCAAATCCGTCAATGAACATACATAAAATAAAAATATAAACATCCGAATTGATAACATCCAAACTTCAAAAATTTAATAAAGCTTAAAAATTCTAAAATTTTCTCCAGGTCGTGCGTATTCAAACATGTATGGCATTTACTGCATGGTGATCTTTTTCACGACTACCATATCTCTATATGGTGCTCTCTCGGAGATCTTGGAACATGGGCTCAGCTATAAGGAGATGGGGCTGTTTGTCATTGTTGGATACTGCATGACTCTTCTGTTTATAATTTGTAATGAGGCTTATCATGCTTCCAAAAAGGTATGCTCATTGTTTTTGATTTAATGTCTATGTTGTTTTGAGATTACGTCAAAACGGCCAAACAGATCTGAATGAAGTTCAGCACAAAGATAGCATATAGTCTAAAATAGCCCGTTGTCTATTTTTTATCAAAAAAAAACAATTAGCTAAACCTCTTTGTTATAAAATAAGAAGGTAACTGATAATAACAATACTTATTGACTATTGATTTGATTAAAAAAAAAAGTTCTAAAGCTAATATAATTCTTTTCCATACACACTGTCTAGATTTGCCTTTGTTATAAGTAACCTTTTCATACAAGTCAACTGGTACATATTTTTTCTCTTTATATAACAACAACTTGGCTAGTTAATTTAGTTAGTTGTGTCCGTTTCATGTATGTTGGTAAAGTCCCCCGCTACACAGGATTTACTCCTAATGCAGGAGTGACTTTAAAAAGTAAAAAAATGTCCTTGACTCCGGTCCCTTCAAGCTACCTCAATCCAATTTTCTTATCCGAGATGTGCAGTGTTCTTTACACGAACTCTCTCGGACCATCCGTTTCTTTTGCCCAATATATTAATTATATTCTTCCTTCATCTTGTCTGAAAACGATAACATTTCTGAGGACTAACTATCGAAAATCCTTTGCATTGTTACACGTTACGTTGACCTCAAATATAAATGGGAAATGAGCAGGATTAGTATGATGATAATGATGTAGATGGTGATGATGATCGTGGTGCCATATCGAAGAGATATTGAAAATAAACTGTTAATAGGCTCAAAATAAATCAGTCAGTCGCTACTAATTATCTTGTAAATTTAATAATTAATTCTCAGAATATCGAACCTATAACGTACATTTCAAAAAAAAATGCAATAGCAGTGTACTTGATGAATATTTGATCTACAACACAATATCTTCATAATTATATACACAAATCCAGTTGAGACTGTGCCAATAATGTTAATAAAACATTTTTAGGTCGGCTTGGAGTTTCAAGTACGTCTTCTCAATGTGAACTTGGGAGCAATTGACAGAAAAACTCAACGTGAAGTGGAGATGTTCCTCGTAGCTATCGCGAAGAATCCACCCATCATGAACTTGGACGGTTTCACCAATATCAACCGAGAATTGTTTACTGCGGTAATGTTTTATACTTCTTTTATTTTAAGAGCTTTAAAGTACTCATTTTCAATTTGATAGTGACTCCAATTTACAGCCACTTTTATTGCGATCAAATAATTTCAAACATGCGATCATATCCGATCAGTTAATGTATAACATAAACTTTAATTTAATTATTCATGACCTCACAACAAAACTTGAACTTTTTTAAATATCATGCATTTTCATAAGGACGTAAAAAAGGAAATTACATTATTCAAATACTAATTAAACATCTCGTCTCTTTTCCACAACTTTTTTCTCATTTAAAATAGTAAAATATACACAATAGAACAAAAGTTTATTTTCTTCGATAGTGGTTTTCTTTTTCCATTTTATTTGCTGTCTTCATTTGTAAGAGCATTCCTTTTATATTATAAATAAAACAAGCAATAAAGAGTGAAGAATATGAGAAAACGTAGCATTTATTGAATATAAAACTATACCTGGGCTACGACAACATTCCAAGTCCATTACCATAATATAACACGGGTCAGCAACAAGCAATTTCTCTAATAACTTACCCGAAGTGAGGCAAACTAACTTTGTCGTTGCAAACATTGTAAATGGAAAATTACAATTTCCACTGAAGTATAGAACACAGTCTAGTTTTTTTTTTAAATTTTGTTTCTTTTACGCAAGTTTCATGTAAGTTTTGAAGTGTTATTGATGTATGGAAAATCTTTTAATGTCTTCTTAAATGTTAATCTTTAACAAATGGCTACCTTAAAGTTTATTTTCAGAATATAATTGTGCTTATTAATAAATCATTATAGATATTGTTGTAAAAGTATTTCACTACTTCACTCTGTCGAGTAGTAACAATGATAATGGTAATCGTATTCGGTCTCTAAATCGTATTTTTGCTGATACTTAAAAGTCTTAAACGATTGCACTAACTGTAGTTTTAAATTGGGTTAAAACCAGGGTTCTCTTGATGAAAAAAAAAACTCAAATATATCTTTAAATCTTATTTTAACATATTTTTACCATTTTGAAACAAAACGGGCTTTTTATTAAATTTTCACTTTAATAATACTGGGCTAAAATGTCCTTCATTTATAAAGCTAAAGTAGCCTTCTCCGTAAGTAGGAAAAAACAAATTACGGCATTATATTAACATAGCAATACTCGATTTTTTTCGCAAACAAGGGGAACAGTGAAAATGTAAGCAAAGTTACCTTGGTACCAATGAAATTCTCATAAATATAAACGAAGCCACTTCTAGTTGTCTTTTAACAGACTCTCAAAAAGAAGGAGATTATCAATTCCATTGTATTTTTGACCACAGAACTCTATCATTTACGAATAATCTTTTTCTTCAAGTTTGGCTCCATTCAAATTTGAAGAAAGAGTACCACCCACAATAAAGCATGAAGAATACAGTTTATTGCAATTCATAATCACGTAGGCTAATTGAAGTCGGTTTTGCCATTTAGCGAGCAGTGAACTGTAGCTTGATTTTAGGGCCCCATAAAATAATTCCATGCATTATCTATTAGTAGTTAAGTACACGATGTATTAAATACAGAAAAGAAAAAGTTTATAAACTATGATAATAACTTCACACATTTCACACAAGGCTGTCTGATCCTAAACTGGGCAGAGACCGTACTATGGTAGCCAGATCGCTGATAAATATACTTATATATTTCAAACCACATTAATATTATAGATTAATTGTGTAATAATGTGTGTACATTATCGTGCTCATCACACAATTATTTGTCCTAAGTGGAAATCGAACTCACAACCTCTAACTAAAAGGGCACTAACCACTAGAACAAAAGGCCCGTCAACTATAGAAATAGATACTATAGAACTATTTGTGATATTTGACGATTTTCCAAGCGTTCGGTCTTGTCATAGCGACAAGACCGAACGCTCTAAGGAGTGAGGGAGGGGGAACCGAATCACTGAGAAAAACAGTAGCAAATTAATTATTCCCTTTGCTACTGTTTCTAACAAATAATACTATGTTTACAGTAAAAGTTAATTATAATCTTGGAAGATGTCAATATAATGTTGGTTGGCTTTATTTCATGGGCGACGATTGTTACTATTGTGTCTTACGCTTCATGTAAATAAGTTCTGACTATATAGTAGAGATAAATAAAAAATATGGTATTTGTTTATATTTTTTAAATTAGAAATTAATTTAGAAAATATAATATGTTTACTGCACTCAGCAACAAAGTAAATAAAACATGTAGTTAAACATTGTTAAGTAAAAATGTTTTGTAACCTGAGTGGTGAAATCACCTCACTTACAACTCTCAGCAAATAATTCCGTAACACGAGTTTATTGGAGTTTTGATCATAGTTGAGTAATAGTTAAATGACACGTGTAACTTTGACTTTGACGATCGATAGTAATTATCTTTAAAACAAGCTTACAAATTAAGTTACAATCAAATTATTTACTGGCTCGTGAGCCAGTGACATTGACTAGTGTGACGCCTGATACCATTGCAGCACGATGTTACCTTCCTAGAATAGGGGCACCTGACGTTCCAAATTAGTCTGGTAACCTAGAAATACATACATATTGATTGCACGGATGGCGTTGTGGTTTAAGCGGTCGCCACGCTGTTTACTACTGCGTTCTGTTGGTCCTATGCCCACATGGGACGACACTTTGTGTGATCTACAAATTGTTGTTCTGAGTCGAAAGAATATATATACATATATATATCTTTATTTCTTTATGGTATAGGGGCAAACTAGAAGATGGGTCACCCGAGTAAGTGATTACTGCCGCCAATTATTTGACATAAGACTCTAAGTAAGCTACCTCTCACATCCTATGAAAATACACGTGTACCAAGTACTCGTAATATTGGCAATAATTACACTATTACGATAATTTATTGCTATTTGTAATACAGACTACATAACGTTGGGAACGACCATAAGAGTAAATGTTGATGGCAAAAACGTTTTGTTCAATTCACAAAATACGTAAACATATATAAACTGCCACATTCAATGGCCCGATAAATTGCTTTAACAGTACCATTTTATTTTATTAGCGATAGGGAATACAAGGGAATATCAGGCATAAAGCTATTATCTGTTCAGAAACACTTGAGCGATTTCGGAAAAATAAAAAAGGCTATTCAGTATATTCTAGTAAAAGTCGGAACTAATTTACTATTGGTTCTTTATTGAAGTTTATTAGTTCAGGTAAAGAACACATTAATTGCTCTTGCTTGTTCATTGGCAGGACAGACAGACAGAGCAATTAGAGCAGTTTACAGGGAATGAAATGCTACGATCAACTCTATGGTTCTGTTTGATTTGTGTTTGTCAGTTAATTTCTTTTTGAAATTTGTCATAAAGCTTTCCATGGACTCGGAAAAGGATAGACTACTTTTAAAGCAATGGAGTTTAGTCACCATAGCTCAGCAATGAGAATACCTATCAATTTATTTACATAAATTGTAAGTCAACAAAGTTAATAAATATATATTTAATCAATTAACTTCTTCGATTTTCAGTTAAAAAGCGTTGAATGTGAATATACCTAGATTTCTTAGATTAAATGGCCGACCTATATATGTTTATAAAAATATTATTTTTCTTACTATATACGTAGGTAAATATAAAAGAAATGTAAATAATACGCAGTGAGTTTACAGAAAAAAAATGAAAGCATTCTAGTCACAGTGTTAAACTGTCCATAATAATATTATACACAGTATAACATAGCGACGGTAATGCGTTAGTTATGTATTGTTTTATATAACGTTTTTTATAATGAATTATAGCTGGCAAATTGTACTTTGCAGAATTCTAAGTATGCAGTTATGCATAATTATGTCACTGTCTTCAAATTTTTTGTGTATCGTAAATAACTTCAGTATAATATATACTCAATTAACCTTTTTTCTTTTGTATAAATTGTATCTATCGGAATATAGAAGTGAGAAAGTTTTTACAATAAACTTGAGACATTCTCGAAACTTAATAATCGATAATAATAATTGGAAAATATATAAATGAATAGTCAATCTAATCATTTTCCATGAAATAAAAAATCTATAATAAATTCTGTGTCTAGGTGTTATTTATCTATCATATTGTATGTATCTAGAAATATATACGAGTAAATATGTTTATCAGCAGTCTGTACTACAGCACAGGCTTTGCTTAGTTTGGGATCAGAGGGCCGTGCGTAAGATGTGTGAGGTTATTATTATCATTATAAATTCTATATTAAAGCACGCCAATATTAGAAAAGACCTCTGCATTTAAATGCTGTATGTAAAATATGTTGGTATTTATGAGTTTTTGCTTGCAGAATATATCTTTTATGTCCACGTACCTTATCGTGCTAATGCAGTTCAAACTGACTTTACTGCGCCAAGGCGCCAGGAAAACTCTCAAGTCCATCGTCAAAGCGGTGTTCAATACTTCTACCACCTTGCTAGACGATCCCGTCACTGAGGATGATGAAGAATGAAAAGTGAGAATTCTATCTTTAATTAAGGTTAGAAATTCAATAAAGATTTAGCTTGTAAAAACTGGTTTTATTTAGAAGACCGTTTTTTGCGGATGTTTTCGAGATCTGTAAGATTTTCGTTTCATAGTGAGAGGCTAGTGTCTGTGAGAGGTATTTGGAACAAAATACTGTTACAACAAATAGGCAATACTCCAACATTACAGTACCTCAAGGTCTTCAATGGCGCGTATTTTACCCTCTTCCTTACACAGACGTCTTCTGTGACGCAACAGTGCTGATGCATGTGGCGTCCCATGTCCCTCGGGCATTTACCATTCTTTTAAGGCACCAGTGTCAGCCCGTCCGGCCTCTTCCCGTCGGACTTATTGTTTGTCTTACTAGTTTTCAGCAATTGCACATATGTAGAAATATATAGTTTACTTACATTTTTGCCCTCGACGTAATTAAGTGTAATAAATTTTGTAAAGACTAACAAAATGCTACTAACTATGACTACAATTAATTTAATTTTCGAACATAGTGTATCCGATAACGACAAAAGCAATTTGTTAATTACGTACGTTTTAAAACACAACCTTATAAACGTAACTAATTTCTTTTGAAGCATGATATTGAAAATGGTTTTGCTGGGCGAGGCAATTACCACAACATAAAAGACGAACAAGTATTGATAATGAAATAAAACAGGGAGTATCGATTATGAGTTAAAAATTTATTTCGCAGTTATTTCTGATAGCTTAGAGTACTTCTGTCTACATGAATAATATTTAAAGTAAGTTTACACATGCATACACTTGGGTTGTGGGGTGGCTGGGGGATAATCACGAACCAAATATTCTCGTTTGCTATCTATGTAATAAAAAGATACAGTACTATTTCCGACATCGTTCCGCAAAGTTTTCGTCCCCACCACCACTGTGCGCTTTTATACTACCACTTGGTATGCCACCACTGTGCGCTTTTCAAGACACTTTTTGCCTCGCACTACCAACCTGTGGAACAAGTTATCTAATGCGGTATTTCCGGACCAAAACGACCTTCAAACCTTCAAGAAAAGGCTTTCCATCAGGTAATTTTTTTATTGGAAGGAATTGCAAGGGATACCATAAAAGAAGAAAATTTATTTTATTTATATACTTTCATTGGCATACATTGCAATGCAAAGTAAACATCTTGTCCTAGAAAACCCTACTAAAGTCAAATCACAATCTGATTAATGTGAAGGACAAACATAGAAACATTTTTATTTATACAGATAATTCCAGCTTGTACTTTCCGATATAGGCAGAAATACTTAGGATACCTGCATATTTAAAGTATTTTCTGTTCCCTACTATATTAAATTTCACACTGAAGCAAGGCAGTACATAAAAGAGGAGACTATTGAAAGAGTAATATCACCCTGCGAGGTAAACTTCCCTAAAACAACAACGAAGGAAGAAATAACAGAAAAGGTGTAGGGATATAATTTAAACAAAACACTGACGTGTTATTAGAACGTAGGTAATCAGAATTTTCATTTTGAAATTAGAATGCTTAATTAACTTTAATGTATTCTGGTTTGATGAAAAATGTTTTCCACTTACGTATTTAAATTTACACAGTTTCAATTTTTCTGTTTATGTGATGCGAAAGCGAAGCGTGTATTATAATTATGGAACTGTAATTGGTACAATTTAAGAATATTATATTATAATTAAACAAGTGTGTTACCGCCAAGAGCCCGCACCTAGAACTACCCGAAAGGAAGGAGTTGGGAGTTGGAGTTGGGGGTTGGACTTCCAAAATCCTCACTCAGTTAAAAATAGCAAAAAAATTGCCTTTGGTATCACTCCCATCGAGCCGGTCTATACCTATGTACTGAAGCATGACTCCGTAACGCTGTATAATAGCATCATTAAAAACACCCGACACAAAAAACACTGTAAAAAATCAACAAATGATGTAATTTTCTGAGGAGTTGGCTATCTATCAGACTACTTGATGCAGCAACAAGTTTCAGGTTACCATGTCGTGGAATTATCATCAAAGTAACAGTATACCAAATTTCAGATTAATTGGACCTGTGGATTTTAGTGAGATCCCTTCATCTCCTAGGAAGGGAGCTGATAATCTTCAAAATTTATAGCTAAGAATCATCTCGATCACATCGGTTTTTAAACCGAAAAATCCGCATTGAAATTGGTCCATCCATTCTGGAGCTATGATGCAGACAGACAGATAGATACATAGATACGCAGATATACAGAAACACAGGTTCAACTTATAACACCCTTCGTTTTCCGTCGGGGGTTAAAAATATCTACATTATTAAAGGTATTCTTGTCTTGATGGTTTTAATAGAACTGTAAATACTAAAACTAATTCAATACTCGTAACTTCTACGTATTCTTCTATTATGTTAGTTTCTAGCTATGTTAATTTACTTGTAATTATATATGTAGTACAAACCTGGCAAATTATTTTGAATACAAATCGACGCTAAATTGTCTTTTTCAGCAACTTTTAATCCATGTGTTATAATAATTTAATATGCAATAAAAATTGGCTCTAAATATATTGAATTTATGCTTCGTATTTTTGCACAACATTTAATTTACAGCTGAAAATTTTGATACTTGATTTTGATACTAAATATTATTAGACACTAAGTGTTAATTGTGTGTTATTTCTTGTTCCGTTAAACTCAGAATAAATTAAGGAGTGCGATGAACTAAAGGGCATTCATTTGACAGCAAATAATTGATGAATTCATCGAATATCCATCACTCATAGTACAAAGAGTTAAAGCGATAACCTTTCAAATACACGAGCTCGGCGCGTAGTTGAAAGAACAAATGATGATAAAATGCAAAGTCTGTACACAATAAAAACTTCAAAGTTAATGGACTTGATTGTTTGGGAAATAATGTACTTTTACAGTTACACAGTACATTACAGCGCACTTTTATTAATTACCTTTGACTTATCCTATTTATGATACAAGGACGTTGGAAATGTATTTATTTATTTATTTACAAAAGGTTACAGAATACAGACCAAATAGTGCATAAAATCACTTTTATTATTTATTTGTACATCATAACAGACGGCCAGATGGCGTAGTGGTTTGTGTAACGGACTGCTACGCCAAAGGTCGCGGGTTCGATTTCCGCTCAAGTCAAACATTTGTGTGCATGAACATTCAATGTCTGATTTGGTCTAGGTGCCTATAATAAGTATGTATTTACAAAAAAAAGCATCTATTTTTATCAGTTGTCTAGTACACCCATAGTACAAGCTCTGCTTGGTTTGAGATTAAATTACGTTGTGTGAATGTGGTAGAATGTTATTATTATAACTATAAAATTCTTGAGAAATAAATGAATGAATGAATGAAAATGTTGTGCTGTTCTGATATAGCTGCCTTTATTAGAAAAAAAAACACATCTATTTTTTATTCCCAGGATTTTTAAACTCACGTTGAAACGCGATGTTTAGAAATCATATGCTTCATCCTAATTACAGAATTATAGACATAATTTGTCGTTAAGTGTATCGAAAAGATAAAGACATTTAAGAATTTTTTGAAACGCGATTTGTATTTGTCTCAAAACCATGCTTTGGTGTATATAAAATACACCAAAGGAATGATAGGTTAACGTTTCGTCAAAGCAACGGGACACAGAATTTGACTATTAATCAAATGTCTCGCTATATCAACGTTACAAACGAGGTTGAGTAAAAAATGACTTGTTTTTCTTCGTTATTCAATCACGCTGTTGACGAATGTCTGTTTACTTTGCTAAGGTATTCATCTATACAAAATACACAGTTTGTGTAATAGGATATTTTTCTGGGATAGGGAATAAAAACTTGATTATTTTTCTATTTAAAATGCGATTTTTATTGTCCAAAAATAACTTTCTTCATTCACTTCACCACAGGTAGTGTGAAAAACTGATAAGTGATGGTTATCAACTTACAATCAAATTTTATAAATACATCGAATGCTTGACACCGGCAATCTTTTTTTTCTAAATACATTGCTCAATGTGGGCTTAAAATGTCCCTTAATTTTGAGCTCTATATCTTATCAATCTAATGTAATTCTGATTTTAACTTTTGGATTATTTACATGAAGTGTAATTTCTACACTCTTTGTGTAAGTATAATGCTAATAACACCAATAACAATTAAAAAAATGTTGTGTGTTTCATCAATGATCATATATTCAGCTGCATATATTATGTAGATTTTGATAAAGTTTACCTACTAACCTGCTCATCATTTTCTGGTTTTCATTCATCATTCATCTATCTCCTGATTAAACAATAACTCAGTGGCACGTGGACAATAAGCCCAATAGCTTCACATAGTACATGCATAATTAATGAAGTTGTAAATTAGGCATGAGTATAAGCTAACAGAGCTGGTGTCTTAGCGAGATTAATTACTAATTAATAATAAAGATTCTGTACTAACATAAACATATGTATAATATAACAATTTATATAAAATGAAAATAAAAATTAAATGTATTTATTTACTGGTTTTATTCTTTCACAATACATTTCCAGACTATATTCACAGTTATATAAGTATGTTTATAATACACCACAAAACATGTTCGGCTGGTGCTTAAAATAGTTAATACGTGAGCTATAAGTTCTAGCAACCCCCAATGACACAATTATATATATATATCTAAAAATAAAAGTATAACAAAGTAAATGAAAGACGTGAAATAAATTAAATAAAAACTAATTTTAAAAATATTTTATTACTAAACCATCATCACCATCCTCATCAATAAATTTGGAGTGTTAAGTATTACAATACAATCAATGGCAATACTGCATATTAAGTATTGAGTATTTTGTAACAAACACTTGATAAATGATAGTGATATTCTAAATGTAAAAAAGTCTAAAAATTTTAATGACAATATGTGTCTGTTTTGTTAACTTTCTGACCTTAAACTCCATATTTCATCATTATATTCATCATTGCCCACACAT